TACTTTTAAGCTTTTGACTTACTTTACCTTTTATTTTCAATATCAAAGAGTTAAACTATCGAGGTAAGAAAAGGAGTATTCTATTAGGGAGTACAACAAAACATACAACTCAGAACTTTTTTATTCTTACTTTGAATTTTTTATGCCAATTATACAAAAAAGATACGATTCACTCATATAGTCTCACAGCTCGAGAGCAATTACGTTTTGGTTTTGAAACACAAATTCGTACACTAAGTGTAGCGTTTGGATAAGCAGATTTACAGAAATGTACCACATGCGAAGAGGCATTATCGAAGGATGCAGATATGACAATATGTAGAAAATCACATAACCAAAAAAAAAACAGATATGAAAGTTAAAAGTATTAATCAGTAAGACCTAGCGAAGCGGAGCAATAATGTTATGTAGGTTAAGAAATAAAGACCGAAAGTTACTAAGTAAGTCACAATATATATTGTATAAATTCACAGGAGATATTATCAATATTAAAGTTAGAATCATTGATGTTCTGAATAGTGAAAAGAAGGAAATTGTTGACAAGACCAACAAGCATAAAAGAATTGTTAGATTATTAACACCTGTAATTGTTGCTGACGACAATCAACATCAACTTACTTTGAATTTTTGGAATGATAGTTATAAAAAGAAAAAGGCATACCATATGAAATGGCAAAGTTAGAAGTTAGAACTTATTATGACGATGTTAGTGCTACAATGACAAAAGACACAAATATCACACGTCTTAGCGATGCAGATGTGATACCCATTTCAATTGAAGATAAAAATAATGGTACCACATCGTCAATAACATCAATCACAAACGCTATCGGTAGTTTAATAACAAACATTGATACGATACAGGCAGGTGATCGACCGTTCAATGTTCGACATGTAACTATCAAACAGGTGATAATGGTGAAAAGTTCCAAAGATGCAATAAGTATAACAAGTTTTTTAATAGAACTTTTCAACCAACGTTTCGTTCTCTTCCTGTCACTCTGAAAAATGGTAAGAAGTAAAAAAAACTGCTGTTGTAATATGCGTTTTTTGCGATAAATAGTAATATAATTTATAAATAAATGTAATATCTTTGATTTTGCCTATGGTAATGTACTAGGTATTATACATTATATAATAGCATAATACATATATATATATATGTAGGTTTTGGGTTCTGGCCTGTTATAACGCCGAAGAAGTAATTGAATTAGTATTAACCAGTCAGGTTGCAAATTTGATGTTGGTTGATATGCAATTAGATCAAAATTTTGATTCCATGTGTAAGCGAAATCGTTAACTAGAGGAACCAGTGAGAATCAAGGTCGCAGAAAATTGGTAGAATATACGCTATTGTAGATCCTAACTAAGGTATCTTCCACAGTCAAATGGACACACAATGCGAATTTGATTTAATATTTTAGATGTATGTCTAAGATCTATCAAACGGCTCATTGACTGTTGAGAAAGAGATTACTCAGCCAATTGAAATAGCAGAAATACCTATTTAGTCACAGTAAAACGTAGATGCTAACTGACTGAGTATGCTTTCAAAACCCAAGAAGCAGTCTTCTGAAACTCACGTGTTTGTATTATATAAACGTAAAATCGTATGTCTCCAAACTTTAGCGTTGATACAATTGTATGAGCTTTTGATGGATGGCAGCATTTTTTTTGTTCAATATACGAAAGGACAAATTAAACGGATTCAGATGCATCAGAAAACAGAGGTTGAAAGAGAATCAGCAAATGAAAAGCAAAATCAAATGTCTATCGCTAAAAATGGCAATTTTAACGTTGAGCCAATGGAAGAAGATTATGAGGATGATTCACGAGAAAGAGGACCAATCAATAATAGAACAAATAATTTAATAGGAAATAATGTAATGCAAAGTTCTTTATCGTCACAATCAAAAATATCATGCGTACGACATAAAGATGAATCAAGTACAACTGGTGAAAACACATCTGGATCACGAGCAACAAGATTAAATGGTTTAGTCATGTCGGTAAATGAAGATGTTAATGAAGGATGTGCAATCGATATTAAAGAGAAAGATAGTGGTAGTAGATCAACGAGAAAGAAAGAAAGGGCAAATCCAATTATGTCCTTAGCACCAATACAGAAATTATCAAATTGCAGTGAGGCAGAACGTGCAAACCCTGCACTGGAAAAAGACAAGAAGGATTAAAATGATCTTAGAACTAGAAGTAACTGTAACTAAATGATGTAATTTTTACTGAAAGAAGTAGGAAAAAAACATACATATATGAATATATGGTGAAACTGGACGTAATCACGCTTGAAACTTGCGAATGTGGTGCGAAGCCAACTGAAATAAAAACAAAAAAAAACAGAAGAAAGCTGCACTGTTCTGGCTGAAATCGAACTGTCAATGGTTTTAGTCTTAGTTCTAGTCTGACATCAAATTTTCTCTGTTTTATTTTAACTTACATAAAATCCGAAAAATCAATAGACCAACGCTCAGACATCCAGTCAATAATCTTAACAATCGCGGTTACTGTCTTCGTGCTCTCGTCCTCTGTTGTACGGTTTTTCGTGAATTAAGTAAATGCTTTATCAGTTCATTCACGATTAAGAAAGTGTATGATCAAGTATAATAATTCAGATAATCGGATGATGTAATGTACAACCACCAGTTAGCATAACACTCACTGTTTGTGGTTATATAATAACGTTTGTACAGTTATAGTAATAAAGAGGTAAGTCACATTTCATACAGCTTTTTCATTAAGATATTTATCAAATAAATAAATAACATGTACTACATATTTCATTTCGATACTATAATAGATTTTGTATCTGCAATAATATATTTATTATTTTCTGTCTAACGAGAGAAGATTCGCAAATGTACAGTCGTTTTTTACTTGTAACATACATGGTGATAGTTAATTTCCGACGCTGATCACGAGTATGATTGTTTTTTTGCATTGTTTTCGTTGCCACCGCGAAATGCTGTTGGGCTCGTACATATTTCTTGAGCCTGAATGTTATACATACAACTTTGTAACTTGTGTACAATGTGTACATGTGAGCTTGTATCTGCTGAGAATCTGTGGATTAGACCATGTTTCATGTGATGTTGGCATTGAAGTCATGCAAACATGAATCATACTTCCATTTTCACATTATAAATGTAAGAATGTTGCCAGACACTAGCATATGACAGGTATAATGCATAATTCATAAGGGGAATGCAAATTGTATTAATCGGACATTGTGAACGATCACAGTTTAGTAGCAGCTCGAAGATATAGGTGAATAATATTATAAATGTCGTAGTTGTCTGTACAATGTGTAAAAGAAATCACTAAATTATAAAGTATAAAAAATATCAACAAAAAATTGAAAAATGTAAGGCATGGAAAGTATCATCGAACAATGGTGGTGTTAAAAAAAACACCGTCTCGCATACCAGAGACCGGTGTTACACGATGCACATGGTTTTGTAGAATACTCCCTAATAGAATACTCCTTTTCTTACCTCGATAGTTTAACTCTTTGATATTGAAAATAAAAGGTAAAGTAAGTCAAAAGCTTAAAAGTAAAAAAAGATAAGGTTTAGAAGATGGCTTAACAAAAACGTCTGTAATTTGCTAACAAATATTTCAACAAGTGCTACAAGTTAATACTAATCGTCGGAGTCAATCGGGAAAATTCGGACATGTTGTCCACGAACTTCTAGCATATTAAGTTTTTGCAAATCCAAAAAATTAAACTGACCAGTAGCTATCCATTGTTGTGCACAACAACAAATCCAAGGACCGCAATTTCGACCGTCTCGTTGTAAAATAATTTTTGGAGTTTCAATTACAGTATAACCTCTGTCCACTATACCACTCTTTCTTACGCCTTCCAAGACATCGTTGTGAATCGAATGACTTAACGGATCTATGTAGTAGATATCCGGGTACATTACTATAGAAATGTCATCTGAATAACAGATGATTAGTAGTGTCCAATGATTACGATCTAAATTGATTGGAAGTATAATGTCAATCGGTTGGATTGTAGTGGTATTTGCTCTCTCTGTAATAATACGCTGCAAATAAAGCTCAATATCGTTGGAACCTGGATTTACCTCACTAACAGTATGATTTGTACCTGACATGCAGTGTAGCAACTGGACTCTGCGGTTGATTATTTCATTTATATTGAATAAATCAAATCAATACAGATATATTTATTTGACATTTCATCTCAAGAACAAATGGCGCCGGACAATCAGCTCTTGTAAATACACGAAAAGTTTCGAAGTTCAAAAAACATTTTAGTTCTACTTATGACGCCGAATCTGGACTTATGTTTGAAAAAAGAACGTGCACTTGTCAATCTGCAGCATCCTGAGACTATCCTCTCGTTTTCGGAAGTTTTCAACGTAGCATACTCCTCTAGATCACGCAGCGCACATTTTGCAAAAAAAATAACAGTATTCTCTGAACGATTGCATAATGTCTGTCGACATAATTAGAATTTTATGAATAAACTTCAGTCACAATTTACTTAGGATTTGATGTCGCAGGGTGGGCTTACAAATTGACGTTACTAATAAATAGAAAAGACTTCAGTTTTTCTTGTACAACATGTTTTTTGTTCTTTTTGTATAAACTTTTTTATTGATAAATAAGAGAAGAACAGAAGTAAATCGTATCGTGCTATCGAATGCAGAGCGCCCATTGTAAGCAACATAAAAAATGATACATTCCAATGTTTAAATAATAATATCAAGTGAACAAAAGATAAATAAAAGTGGTTAGAGAAGACATATTCCATTATTTAGCATACTGTACAACATGTTCAAATAAACAGAAACATCGAGAGAAATAGGAGCTTGTCACTTTTGTGCATCCACTTTTTTTCGCCAAATACCAGAATGACAGTTTATTTTCTTTAAATGGCTAGTAACTATAGAGTCAAATGGAGGGTAATTTTATTTTTAGAAAATGACAGGTTTTTTATGCGACTCAGCCTCGAAAAAGTGACGACTCATCTCTGCGAGGAAGATCCTATGAAACCTCGTCCACGAGAAACATTTACTAGTTCATTTTACACACCCACATAGAATGCTAAAACCACCGATATTATGTTTTTGAGCTTTTTCATATCACTGACTTTCTATCACAAGGACGGCCCATACTCTCCTCGAATATGAATTGAAAAAAATCACAGAATGCTCAAACCCTAATCAACAATTTACGGAAAACCAACCAACAATTATTAGAAAAATTAGACAAGAAAAAGATCCCGTGGGATTTCATCATAGATTACTTTCCTATCAGAAAGAATTCGTGGCAGACCATGGCGGGACAAAAATTTGCAGTGATATTGTAGTGGTTTTATTTTCGTATTAACAATTTTGATTCGTTATAATTTGTTAGCATGTATCTAATATAAATTTTAAAGAAAATCAGGCTATCAATCAATAGAAAATGATGAAATGATTTCTAACACGAACAAATGGAAATGCCAAAGTGACCGAAATGTTGGCATTTTAACTCTAATTACATCAGTCTATCGTTTTTGAAAAAAATTGATATTATCCAATGTTCGCAACGTTAATAAAGCTTTGTTTTTAATTTAAAATATAGAAGAAAATTAAAAATAGCCATCTCCGGTATTAAATGCAATATAAGTATCGAGATCTGTAATGGATGATGATGACTTTAGTGACGCTGATATAATTGGAAGATTAATTGTAGGAAAATACAAAGTTGAACACAAACTTGGTAAAACGCTTTATAAATGTCTCAGCATACTCGCTTGATTTTCTCTCGGATTGAAACAGGCCGGTTTTGTAGTTATATTATTTGTAACATCCTTCAGAGGTACTGTGTTCCGCGGCATCGTCAAATCGTGTAATAACTTTTGACAAGTTACTTATGTCTTAGTGTGTCGAATCATCCGAGCATTTATCCTCTTTTCTTCTCTCACAAAGAATTTACGCTATTTTCCGAGATGAAATACTATTCTTGCAACCATAATAATTCATGTTTATGTAAAACATTGTATTACATTGTAAACAGATAGTACCTGTGAAATCATAGAGAGATAAGCAAAGCTCTCAGCTTCACTTTAGGAAGTGGCTCATTTGGTCAGGTGTATTCTTGTATCGACATTGAAAGAAAAGAAACATGGGCGATGAAAGTCGAGTCACGACATATAAATGATAATCGACAACTATTCATTGAAAATAGAATTTATACAATTTTAAAAGATGGTCGAGGGTTTCCACGCGTCGCATTTTACGGAAACGAAAACACATTTGATATTTTAGTAATTGAATTATTGGGACCGTCATTGGAAGATGTATTCAACTACTGTGACCGAAAATTCACCATTAAAACAAGTCTAATGGTAGTAGATCAAATGGTATCTCGTATAGAGTACGTTCATACATGTCATATTATACATCGCGATATAAAACCCGATAATTTTTTGATGGGAATAAAATCAACAGCAAATATTGTCTATCTGATTGATTTTGGATTATCGAAGAGATACAGAGATCCAGAGACTCTCATTCATATTCCATCTAAAAAAAATAAGAGTTTAACAGGCACAGCTCGATACGCTTCAATTAATGCACATAACGGATCAGAACAATCAAGACGAGATGATCTGGAAGCAATTAGTTACGTTTTTATGTATTTTATATTGGGATCATTACCATGGCAAGGTTTGCAAGGTACAGCACACAAATCAAAATTTGAAAGAATAGCTGAAAAAAAAATGCAAACAAGTGCAGATATTTTATGTCGAAATCAGCCACCTGAATGTACGTTATTTGTCACTTATTGTCGGAATCTGGTGTACGATCATAGACCCGATTATAATTATTTAAGACAATTACTACGATATTTGATGAGTCAAAAAAGATATCAATACGACTATCAGTATGATTGGATTATAAAAAGAAAAAGTTTGGAAAATGGATGGAAAGAAGAATTAGATATAGAAATAGACACTTAGAAGTTGAGAGAGTTCTTTCCCGGAAACTGAGATTCTATGATTAATGCAAAAAATGATATTTTGTATTCATTATTATACCATAGTTTTTCCCCGACAAAGTTTCATATGGAAAGTTTCAATGTTTTTTGTTCAAAAAAATGTCTTAATAATGTAACCCTTGTCAGTGAATAATGATACAACAAAATTGACATTGTGTTATTTTCATTGTATCTTTGAGCAGTAGAACCTTTTAGATGTCAATTGTGGAGATTTCATATTAAATTAGCATCATATTATTCAATTAACGATAGATAAAAAATAAAACAACGATAAAGACAATAAAGTGGAAGATTTCGATCTAAATACGTTCAACATTTTTTTAAAGAAAGACAATATAATATGGTCATGGTACTTTAAGAAGTTATTCTTTTGTCAATCTACGAAAGAAAAATGGCTTATTTAAAACACTGAAGATGTCATGAATCGTGATTCAAATATAGAGCCTATGACAGATCTCGAGAGCTTTTATATATATATATATATATATGCTAAAATTTAAAATATTCATCTCCTTTTAATAGTGTATCAGTAGTAGATCGATTTGACTTTTATGTCAATTTGTTTCACCTGCATAACTGTGATGAACTTTGTTTCCTTCGCGCCAGCATATACGAGTTTAAAAATTGATTTCTAAAACTGGAACTTTCATGGTTACTGTTAGACAATTTCTAGTTTTATAAATATTTTTGTCTCCAAAATATCTATATTAATCAGTAGGTCACATGAATTTGTTGATATGGAAAAATGAAAAGAGAATTATTATTATAATAGTATCTATTATTTATAAATAGCAGCAGTCAGCCAGTCAATAGCACTATTTTAACGTGTGATCAAAGAAGATGGGAAATGGTTGTAGTGGCAGAAAATTTCGAAAAGATTTATCACCGCCGAAAATTGATACAACAACATTGTTTACTGATCAGAGTGAAAATAACAGTCATTTTATTGCTGAATATACAAATCATAATCGATCATCATCTCCATATATTGAGGGTAAACGTCGACATAATATGAAATTTTCTTCTGCTAAAAATCAAGATACATCAAATGAAAATAATAACGCACAAAGTTTAACAACCTGTTCTTCACTCAGCAGTTCAACTAGTCACGATGTTATTAGTTCAATATCATCACTCAACAACAACAATATTAAAACAGATAGTTGTTCTATAAAAGGTGACCATTCCGATAAATGTGATGATAATCATCAAAATAGCAACAAATCAGATAAGTTTCAACAGCAACAAAGCAAGCAAAATGATAGTCGGAAAATATCGAATTCAGCACAATTGTCTAACTCGTCGTCCACAACCTCTCTAACATCTAAAAAGTCGAAATTGGACTTATTAAGTTTAGAGCTACCAACGCATAATATAAACAGTGATAAAAAAGAATTAGAATATTGTTTAAATAACTCCCTATTGTTAGTGACAGATACATCTTATCCGACAGAAGAAAAAGAAAATTTAAATAATAATCAAAAACATATGTTTTATATTCATTCAATTGAAGCTATTTATGACCATGATTCATTAAATCTCAATAAATAACACTGGATTGTACATAGTCTTAGATTAAAAAGCGTATCAATTTTATATTTAACTTGCTCAATGTTGTAGTCTGTGTAATTTTTTTTTACTTACTTACGTAAGGAATTATTGTATAGTTTTGACTATTTAGGTTTCCATCAAATTAAACTGTTTCAGTTCTGATGATGCAGAAAAATATCTCATGACATTTATCTATTCTTGATTAAGAGCTTGCCAGATGTTTGCTGGGGATAAAAGACTATCGAGTTAATTTATGTCAAGTTTGATAAAATTGCGTATTAGACTCATTATTGCATACATAAATTTGAGCTAGAACAAGTGACTATTACATACATTTAACTATTTTGATGCGTTCACTTAAGATCTTCATACATGTTTAGGTGAATAATTGACATTCCTTCTGTGACAAAGATTTGAATTGGGTTCTTCTGTTTATGACTTCCTTAAAAAGAAAAATCTGCTCAAAAAAGTTATCTGTCTAAAAAGAGTTCCGCTTCTCTAATTTGAAAACATATACAACAAATCAACACTTCACTCTTCTCATCTATTTCTCTCTTTATGGAACTATCATCTGTAATGCAGCCAGAAGTTTTCTAAGAAGTATGAGGTTCTTTTTCTAGGTTCTTCACCAAATTAAAAAAGGGTTTTCCCCCAAATAACCTGGATTTTTTCACACTTTTTTTTTCGCAAATAATTAGATGTGATTGATAGTTATTTTATTCTATTCCTTCCAGTGTAAGTTAAGTCATCCATCATCGTTAGAATATACAACGAGTAGCTATTGTCTACTATTACTTGCAAACTTTAAACACTAATATAGTGTTTTAAAAAGCGAAATTAAATTGTGCTGGTGTGCGCATCAGTACCAACCTAATGTTAATAAAAAACAAATTGTCGAATGCTGTTTAAGGGCGTTTTCGAAATATAGATCGTTTATATATTATAATTCTACTATATGCTTAGAAAAGAATTTTAGATTAACATGATCGACATCTCAAAGTAATTTTACTCTCGCTATTTTCTTACTATAAATCTCTGATTTGATCTAAATATTTAAGGGTTTCAATGGTAAAGTTTAATTACGTCTTATCGAACAATAGAAAAATTTCGTTTTCGATTTCATATGATTGTGTCTACTGTGGAGACAAGGGATAAATATTTACAAGTACAAAGATCAATATTAAAAAACATTGATAATTCAAAAAGTACATGCTTTTTTGTTTATAGTAAATATAAATTTAAGGAATGATGTTTTTATTTCTTGGCTTTCAAATATACGTAATCACATTTACGTTTTGTTATAATAAGTCAACACAAAAATAATATCAAATAACAATAGTAGTAATTAACAAAAATGGGTAGAATAACTATAAAATTTACATCAGACATGTACATCAACACAAAAGAAGTAAAACTAATTTCAATCAGAAAGCTAATTTTTTCATTAATAAATAGACATTTGAATCGGTTTTAAATCCATGTAAATTATTCGCATCACCTTGTAAACGCATTAACAATCCACCGAATGAAACGTACGCAGATCTGAAGAAGAAAAAATAAGAATTAAATGGAATATTCTTTAAAAAATTATGATTGAACATGTCTCAAAACTTTGCTATGATGACGAAATCGTATCGATAGGTCGTACCAGACCAATGCATTTACAGTTATGAATCGCGTGCAAAGGCACTGTGTGGCACGATCAATCGAACGGGTATTTATTATTTCAATATTAAAATAGAAGGGAGTTTATTAGTTAAAAAAAATGAAAGAAAAAAAAAATAGTACTTACAATCTTGATGCTGTATCAACACCTGTATCGTCACCTTCAATTCGATAGACCTGTCCAAACATTACATATTCAAATTGATCAGCTCTATTTGGACCACTATCTTGATTAAATTCACCATTGTCAGGTGTTCCATCTTCTCTTAATGTTGTACATATTTTTAATCGAAATTTATCACCTAGATAGAACAAAAAAAGAAAAGAAATATATGTCGTGTTCATTTGTTATTATTGTTGTCAAACACTCATTTTATTACTTTATTATTATGTTGTTTTTTTTTGATAGATTATTTAGAAAAACATACAAAAGCCAACAAATGAATCTAATATCATAGTTAGATAAACATCATTTGAACACTATGTAATGATTTAGATATATTGAAAATAGAGTGTATAACTTATGATACTAAAATGTTTGAAAGTACTTTTAATAATTTTAGTTCAACTCAATTTATTCGAATTGACTATTCAACAGATTAACTCTTTTCATATATACTAGCACAAAAAAGATATATATATATATGTATTTATCTGTATTCAGTGAAAACAGATGACCATCGATTAAAGATCACGTATCAATGGAAGAAAATGACCATTCTATTTAGTCGTCACATATAACTCTCATACAAGACAAATAATTAAACTAAAATAAGAGAACAAAAAATAAAACAAAAAAATCAATGCTGATGACTAAAGATAATAAAACTTTAGATATTGTTGCTATGTTCCAGAAAAAAAAAATTTTTTCTTTTTTTTTCTCTTTTAGTCACAGACCTTGTGTTTATTACACCGATTACTCTCAAGCATTCAAGTATATTCTTCAATGAGTATAACTATCGATGTGTATTAGATCATATTCATAGTAGTAGTTGTAGTAGTAGTTCACTTGATAAAAAGAAGAAAAAAAAACAAAACATGGGATATTAAATTTATAAAACGAAAAGGAGAACAAACGAACTATATGCCTTGCTCTAAGTCTATTTTATTATCGCTTAAGAGAGCATTTACACCTGTCAAAACTACATCAGCATCATATGATGATATACTAATATTCAACAAATAAAAAGGGATGTGACTCTATTCTCTTTCTTCCTCCTCCTCCGCATACACCTTACACTAACAATGATTCCAATTTTTTTCTGCTATATCCTATTATTATCTTTCTCTACAGCTTACATAACATAAGAGAGATTACAGGTGTGTAAGCATTTTTTTTTCTTTTTTCTTTTCTTTTTCTTTTTTTTTTACTTTAATAATTTAAAATGTTGCTTAGATGATTGAATGTAAAAAAATAAAATCGATTTGATCATATGTAATACTGACCGTAACGTATGTAGGATAATAGACTGTTGCATATAAAAGTAGAAAAAAAAAAAATGTGAAGAAAAAATGAATATCTTACAACTATAATTAGTCAGGTTGGACTTTCATAATCTATGCACAACGATAAATAATAAAAATAAAAAATAAAAAACGAATATTTTTTTTTCTTTTTTATTCCAACCATATTTTTTTCTCATAAACAGCGAACGTGATGTTGATAAGAGAAAAGTGTTTGCAGAAGTAAAATTCATTCTGTTTTTATTTTGATTATGAGTGGTTTAAAGATTACTGTTAGAGGCAGATATCAGAAATGAAACAAGCATTTAAAACTTAACCAGACAAATATAATAAAAGAAATAGATTTGATTTTCACTTAGTTATAGAGACGAACAAAAAACAAAAGAAGAAAATTTTGATTATTCTATCTATTAACGTTTGTATATCTGAAGCGTTGAAGATATATCAACATTTTTTGATGAATAAACAATTGTAAGGAAAATATTACTTTTTATAAATAATATCCGTCTTTCTTGCAGAGATGCTACAGATGAATCAACAGAAAAGAAGTTTCAAGGATATTCCAAGCTGACTCGAGCTATCTCAACGAAAAAATTCTTAACTAAAAATCTGTCGAAAGAGAGAAATAATAACATGATTTGTAAAAAGCAATAATCATCTACCGTATTTGATAGGTTTTTACACTAAAGAAAGCAGTAAAAATGACTGACTACTGTTATCTGACTTAAAATGGACACCAAATAATAGAAGAGAAAAAATATATAAAATTTATTTTTGATCTAGTTTGGTCACTTTTATTCTTTTCTTTCTCTATTTGCAAGAAGTAATTGACACTTTTTATCTCATAATTCAAGCTTAACGTGATCAAAATTTTTAGTAATACATAGCAAAAAAATACTTTGTGAAGAAGAAAAATTCTTTATTTAGTCAATACAAAGTAAGCTAACTTTCTACAAACACAACGTATTCAACTTTTTTTTTTTTCATCAAACACATTCATTCATTCACTATATGAGATGTACATATTAAAAAGCTTAAGTTTAGTTAAAGATTTAGCTGGTGAATATTTTTATACATTACAGATTAAATTCTTTCGTAATCTTTTTGAATATGAGCAAAAAACAAAACATCTCTGAACAATAAACACACTAGGAATTAACTAACCGATGATAAATATGCAAGCACAAATTCATTTATTCTTAACATAAATTTAGAAAAACGTGATTTAATGTTTTGTTTTTTGTATAATTCTATATGGTTTGATAAAAAAAATCCTAATTTCGTGTACTTTTTCAATTTTTTTTGCGATTGGATGAAAGTTTTGTACTATATTAGTGTTTATTTTGTTCTGATCTGTCATTGTTAACTGAGATATACTCGTAGCCTTCTCATTTGTGAAAAGTAGTAAATATCTCAGTAACTAACTAAAGCAGATTAGAAAAAAAAATGAAATACTAACATAATTCTTGTTTAAATACAAAACTTTTATCTGATTAGACTGTTATATATTATAGGTCATAACAATTTTTATAGGTCGGAGTATAGGTTATGAAAATGTTGTAACCTCCACACATTTATCATACACAATATGTTTGTCAAACAAAAAAAGATTTAAACTATTCTTTGTATGTCTAACAACTAAAAAATGTACACTGGAGTTCATTAATGGAAAAAAAGAAGAAATTAAATAGCTAACTGAATATTCTATTTATTCGCCTTATTAAGATAAGAGAGATATATGAGTAGTAACTATACCATCATCTATTTGATATTAATAATTTTAAAATTTTTACTTTTAAAATCATTTTTTTACTGCTTAATCAATTCTAATTTTTAACTTACTTTAATGTACCATTCATTGCCTAATATTTAGACGATTCTTCATCGATAATAAATGTTTAAAATCATTGAAAGACTAACGTTTTGAATCGACAGATTCCTATTTTTTTTTCATGTACAAATAAATCTATACATATTTTCTTTCTCTTTCTTTAAGTCTCTCTTTCTTGATTTAAACCCACTTTTTTTTTTATCGATATAGCAGCACTTTAGTCTTACCAAATTATATAAATATGCATATGTATATATATATATAACGTATATATACACATATACGAAGTCTTTTAAAAAATTGGCATTATATTTATATATAAGAAAAAGAAGAGAAAGAGTATATAATAAATTTTTTTAGCTTTGGGAACAAACACACACGATGTTTCTTTAAAATGATATTGATATACAATGTATGAAGAACGGTTATTTTGTTTTTTTCAAAAGCAGTTTTTCTGGTTTTTTATGAGAAAAAATACAAAAAAAACAAAACACAATAACAACGTGTCATATATATCCGTTTTTATTGAGAGATATAAATTTATAACAACGACTATAAATTTTACTTTAGAGAGTATTGAAAAGTTCTCTAGGAGTAAAAGAAAAAAGAAGAAAGAAACAATGTATTACATATACATATTTAACCTATTTAACAAAACTAAGCACGTAGACCATTTAGATAGATTTATTTATAATTTTATTTGAAAGTCAAACATACATATAATTGACCTTTTACCCACTAGAAGCGAGTATTTTACGAACAATGAAAGAGACCAAAAAAATTGCATTTATATAGTTTTATTTAAAGCAGCTGTTTTTTTTTTTAAATAACAAATACATGATAGATGTAAATAATTTAACTTACCAAACTCCATTGGATATATTTGAGTATTAACATCTAATATTAAATCCATTTTAAATGATTCTGATTCACAAAATATTCTTGAAACTAAAATTAAACAAAAAATAAACTTATCAATGTGAAATTTTACATTTTGTTCACATCTACTTTAATATCAAATTATAAAGGTACATAAGTAAAAATATCTTTGTCGATGAACCATTTTCAGTAGTAGTAGTAGTAATAAAAAAAACCTCTATTCATACTCAGTAATCTTTTTAGACTCTATGAACATACCTCGAACGAATTTTTTTCCATCTGGATCCATATCTTTAACTTCAAATATATCCTCGAACAAGATATCGGCCATTTTGTTATACTATTAGATATTCTTGTTCTAATCTATAAAATAAAATGATTGTTAAGGAAGGTTGTGTTAAATAAAAACAATAAAAATGACATGGTCTACTTCTTGTTTGCAAGAACTTTCCATTAATTTAATGTATTGCTCAAATTATATTCTAGTATTAGTTAGTTAAGCTGCTCTCATGGATTATCGTATATTTAATTTTAATTATCCGTCAGTTCTTCAACTACTATAAAAATAATTTCTGTAATATCGATTTCATAAATGTTTAGACAAACTGTGCATAGTAAATATTGGATTATTACATAATTTATCGTGTTTTTTCATTCATAAACTGAAAATTGTAGGGTTTTTTCATCTTTTACGACAAAACAACAGAATAAAATATTTTTAATTATATTAAGAGATTAAAATAGGGACAAAAAAGAATGAATAATAGTATCTGAATAAAGTTTTACTGTACCATTTTCTTTTTTAGTCTAATTTGAGGAGTATATACAATTCCTTGACCATTGAAGAAAATATACACATTTCTAACGACAACATGTATTTTCTAAATTCAGACGTGTGCAATTTGATTTCTAATGGTTCTAGAATTTGCTTTCTTAGAGATAATATAACGGGATTTAAATTTTTTATTATTATCATAAGAAATCGAGCGACGTCTATAATATTATCTTATTGTTCTTTTCTTATTACACTTATCATCAAGCAATAAATTTCTAACTTAATTAGGTCAAACAAATACTCAAAACTTTTTCTTCTTTTTTTTTTATTGATTATGTGACTATAATCTCGCTTTATAAACGCGTTCAAAAATTTCAATGAAAAGAAATATGTCCTTTTTATTTTTCCAACTTACACTTTAACACTTGCTTATTTATTATTGTATATTCTCATAAAGTATGAATTATATAAACTCCAAGATATAAATTTCGTAACACATAAAAAAAATTACTAATATAAAAATAATTTGAACATACGATGAATTCTCAAGATTTCTATAACAGAATAATACTTATACACAAATAGCTTGTAAAAAGGATTATTGAGTATATTGAAATAGGTATAACTGACTCAATAAAAAAACCTTGATATTCCTTTATTCATCAATAAAATCCTTATTAGAATAGAACCAATTTAGCTAGTACTAAACCACAAACTGCCCTTAGAATGCGAGTGATTTTAACAAGCATTTTTGACTCTCAATCGATCACCGGCTATTATCAATAAGAATTATTTAAGATAGAAAACTGACATTATTAAAAGTCTATCAATTCTTGCTATATAATTTTGAACATCGAGAACGACAAAAAATGTTCTCAGAAGGACCAGTCCGCATAAGACTTGAAATCGGCCCACCAACTTTTACTGCTTCAATCTGTCCAAAACTCATCGGAATCATCATATTCGATGATTTCCACCCTTCTGAGCGCTTTCAGTCGAACATATCTGACAGAATCTACTCGAAAATAAACAACTCCTTGGTCTCATCAGTGGGACTGTAAAATCGACATTTTTCTGTAACTATCCAATACTTTGCTTAATGAAACACACCATTCGATGCGTCTTGAAAAGTTTTACAATATGTGTTAATAGGAAACTTAACGAAGCCTGGTAGCCTGGTTTGTGAATTAAATACTTCATCACTTAAACCTAAGAGAACTTGTACATCATTTTCTGCTTTAATAACTTCTGCGAAAGATGTGTAAGGCATGTGTTTTAAAGGTTTCGTTTGTTCTTCTTTAACCTTTGAACAGCTGATTTCACATCACAATTACTTGGAACTATTTATTTCTTCTTGTCGTTGACGTAAAAAAGCATAGTTAGGATACTCCTTGTCTGAATGGTTACTTCCATTCTCACTGCGCGAAACATATCGCGAATCTGATTCGGGAGTTGATGGAAAACGTCGAACTGGAAAATGTAGAAGAACAAAATATCGAAAGGAAAACGTCGAAAAGGACATTTCTTTCTGTTCTCTGAAAATAACTGAAAGAGATATTTTATTAAATCACATAGAGAAAGAGAGTAGAAGAGAAATGATAAGGCCAATAGATCGTGATCTAATTTTTCGTTTATCCACATCAACAATGATAATCCAGCTAGTAGCTATTTTGTATTTATTTCTCTATTCAGAAATCATCCGTTGAGTGTGTCAAATCATTGTTGAAAAACTGCTGTATTTCCTGATTGCTTTAGAGTCAATACCCCTGCACCAAGTTGCATAGTGATGCGTTAAGTGGGTGGAATGAGGGTGAGATGTTCATCGTAGCAGACATACTGAACTTCATCATACTTTACTTTTTCAATGAGTGACTATAATTGCTACGAGATTGGGGGAGGTGTACAAGTCTGACGAGAACCAATAATAGTTATAATGGTAAAAATACGTATATCTCTTTCAGTGATTTTCAAGGAACAAAAAGGAATCTTCTCCTTTTTGATATTTTCCTTCTTTCTATTATCCGCTTTCGACGCTTTCCTTTCGGCATTTTGCTCTTCTACATTTTCCTCTTCGACGTTTTGCTCTTTTTTTATCGACACTTCCACAAAGAGCCTGATTCGTACACAAAAAACAGTTCTTGTGAATAATAGTCGTATGCGGACTGGTCCTTTCTCCAATCCACATGTTTTTTTATCTTTAAGTGAATTTTTCTTATATATAAACAGGTATAGAGAAAACTTATCTATCACAAGAGGGTATTCTTTAATTTTCTCAAAAGTGGAGCGACCAGATTCCTTGGCTGCCCTTTTTCTGCTAGTATGAAAGATCATTAAAAGTTACAATAGCGAAGGTGACCCCTGAACTTCTCTGAGCTATTTCAATTCAAGCAACTATGCCGAACATATCGGTGTGTATCTACGATAACAAATAAGACTAGATATCAAAGAGTTTTGGCGACTGAAACTAAATAACTTGCTATGTGATTCCATAACACTAACGTGTATCTACCATATAAGAGTCAAATCATCTCGAAAGGAAAACAACTGCTAGACTGACCAATAGTACAATAGCATCTAGCTCGAAAGAAAACACGAGCGCTGCAGCTAAAGTTTATAACAAATAAAGAAAAATGAAGCATGTTTATCAGTATTTATTTAAAATATAAAAAATATAAAACAAAGACATGTTTAGTTATTCAAATATGAATGGCATCGATATGGTATGAGATTAACAAAACAAAAGTACTAATAGTATAAAAAATAAATTATCATCCTCTTTTTATTCAGTAATACAGGAATGTAAATGAGATTGAAAAAAAAATATATGTTTAAAAACTAAAAACACAAAATAGTTTGAACATAAAATTAATAACGACGTCTATATACTCGCAGATTACCAAATACTTATTGATGAGAACATAAATAACACCATTACTTTCAAAACAAAAAGGAAAAGTTGTCAAAAAACAATATAACTGAAAAATACACTTCACCTGTAAACCACCTAAACTTCAATGTTTGGCATGAATTGTTTTTCCACTAGCAGTATTAACTCTTGTTAATTCACGATGAAAATCAACAGCTGTTTTCAATTCTTGTTCAAATTTTAATTTTTCAATCGATGGATGATTTTCTTTTAGTAAAAATTTTTTACCCGATACTGCACGTGGCAAACGTTGTCCATGAAGTACTGGCGAATGAAATGATTCATTTAATGAATTTTGCGGCAGTCGTGAACTTTGTAGTGTAAAATCAGTGTCATGTCTATCATTCACTAATTGTGATAATGTTGAGACTTTTTTCAATTGAGCAGACTTTTGTTGTCGTTGAACTTCTCGAAAACGTTTCGAATCTACATAAAATCCAAATTGTGAAAGCGATCTCATTTACCAACAAAAAAAAGGGATTATGAGGTTACGATACGCTGACAGTCACTTGCCTATACGAAAATTTTTCTAAAAGTTCTTCTAACTAAGCGCATACCTGGTGAATTTGGATTTCTTTGTCCACTTTTTAAACTCAATAGTCGTAATAATCTTTCATCACTATCAGCTTTAATTAAAGCCATTCGATAGTGTCTTTGATTTTTGAGCAGATCATGCCAATTTGTTTCCAGATATTGTCGCAAATGATTATTTCCCAATACCGATGGAGCCTAAAACAATCATTAATATGTATATTTTCTGGACAACCAAAAAAACAAATTCACACAATTAACCGGTATTGTTATTGGATACGAAAATGCTATCATATCGTTAATATGTTTTGTTTTCTCACGTTTAATACTTTCACCTAAACCGGTATGATAACGTCGAAAATTTCGCCAGATATTAAAATTAATTGGTGGTTTTCCATCAAGATTTTTTGGATATAATGACTTATGATTATGTTTACCGGATTCTAACCTGCAGGAAAGAAAAATCAATAGATTTACGTGAGAATAAAGCATAAAAACTCTGTACATGCTATGTAGATCAAACAATATCTTCACTTTTTTTCTCGTGAGGCGACTTTTTACAGCTAATTATGAAAACTCTTTAGTCAATTCCTCAAAATTATGCAATATTTCGAGCGATATACAGAAGAAAAACATAAAAATAAACAAATCTTACCATAAATCATAATCAAGTGTAGAAACTGATCGTTGCAATGGCGATGGTATCGATAGACGTTCATCATCTACGTATGATGAGCGTAATGTATGGTGAATTTCATGATCAATGGATGTTTTTGGATGATTCAAAACTGCAAGTCGTTGACTTATATGCGGTTTAAAGCTTAACGCACTAATTTCGTCGGCCGTACAACTATGCGAAATATAATCACGTTCTTTTAATGTTGACATTTTATTGTTTTATAACTTTCATTTATCTGAATCTAAAATCAAAGAACATATCATGATTAAAGGATAAGCAAATTTTCGGAAATTTTCGGAACGTACCAAACATAGATAAAGAGTAATTAACCTAATAAGTTTATGTTAGTTGTAAAAATAGTTGAGAAAAAGTGTTAGGATAAATGACTTTTTCAATAAATATTTCCTTGTTTCTGTAATTTCTTATTTGTGGTCATCATTCATTACAAAGGAGAAACGTAAGGGCGATTAAAAACTTCGTACATTAAAATTAAAATTACTGAATTATTAGTTCTTCTTTATGATAAACTGTTATACTTATTGTCTTAGATAACGACTATCCAAACGTGGCTTAATCAGCGTCACAGCTATCTGCCCTAAATGATTCCTTAATGCACGTCCAACTGCCCATCTGCCTTACTCATCTGTCATCAAATTATTACAATAAATATGTTTAAAATATTTCATACTTCATACTTGAAAACACATGATAATCTTAAGCACCAACTACACGGTTTGTATTTAGAGCTAAAATAATGTGAGTTGGATCCATTTCGACGCAAGTTAATGATGAATGAGATCTACTTTCAACTGACGATGATGAAAAGTGTTTACTATGTTACAAAAATCATCATCTATTAATGTGGCGACTTTAATATTTTATTGTTGACGATTTTGAATTATGAACCAGTGAACAACATTATCCCTTTTTCTTCGCTAATAAAATCTGAAAAAATAACTAAACTTATCCCCATAAAAACGATTATTAACCTAAACAAATTTTTAAAATAAAGAAGCAAGAAGTTTTTTTTCGATTTTCAGATTTTACTAGGTTGTAACCTTGTAACTGATCAAAAACAAAAAATGCATCATTCAGTATGAAAGAGGTGACATCAGAATGAAGAGAAATCTCCAGTTATGGTAACACTCGAAGTATGTAAACGGTAACATCATAACGTGAGAGGGGATCTTTTGACAGTAAAAAAAGGACAACGTAACGTCTTTGTCTGACGCAGGGGAGAAAGATACTGAACCCTGTGAGGAAAATATGATATTGTGTACCATATTAAATGCTATCAACTTTGCTAAGGATTTCGTAACATTTTTGGGATTGTTTTTAAATAGCCACTATTATATATATGTTTTACTATGAAACCATGAAGTGCTAAATGGCTTTTTCATCAACGAATAGAATAATTCCTTTCGTCACTAATACAAATGTGTTGTGTATTTGTAGTGTTCCCAGATGTCGGTAATATTCATCGTAGTATTTCGTTATGAAAAACTATTTACCGTGTATCAATCACAGCATTTGTTCCTTTCACTTCATAAAGAATCTGTTTAATACTAAGAGGAATTCATTTGTTAACGTCATATTTGACGATAAAAAATCAAGTGAGAACTCTTTTTTTGACATTTGTTTTTATTTACAGAATATCGACTAACAATTTGAAGAAAAAAACGACTAGAATCCGATACCGTGATACTGGAATAATGATTAGATATAGATATTGTAGTTTGTTGATGATATAACTTCTAGTCTCCGAAAGAAAGACGAACACTGTGTCGCGTGTGAGTGTTGACAAAAGCGTTCAAACAGGAGGTATTTGTCTAGTCGTCAATCTTTGATGTTTACTGCAAAACACAGAAATTAGAAAGATACATTTAACTTTCAATCCTAGCAAAAAATCATTTTCCAGCTAGAATGATATAATAGTAACAAATGCAATTTTTATTCATTTAGTGGAAACACGTTGACAGTAGAATATACGTCTTTTTTTGTAGCTTAATTTATCCTTTTGCGCTCTGTATTACAATCCTTTTAGGATAAAAGTTTTCATAAAGCTAATGCATTCAATTTAACCAGTTTTTAACTGAATTCATCGATTCTACGTCCCTTGAATAAATCCACCAGTTAATCATGTCAGAAAAATCTTTTTAAATTTATTCTCTTTCAATATGATAAACAGTAAATTGACTATTTTGTGCAACAACGACAAAAACAGTAATGAAAAAGCTTAATTATCTTCTTAAGCAATACGACAAAAGACAAAAACAAAGCACAACATGAGACAGTTTGCTTAAGAACAACAGATACAAAGAGTAAGAAGACAGTTTGACGTATAAATTCTTTTATTTATAAGATGATTTGTGTCTATATCGGTTGAATTTTAAAATGTAAACCGATTAAAGAGAATACAAAACATTTTAAATCTTGTACCAAATAATAAAAACATCTTAATCCGTCTGGGTCGCGACTATTATTGATATCAATCAATGAACCAATTTTCGAAGTTGTGAACGAAATATGTTCTTCACCAAGTACAATTTCTAATTCTTGTCTACCAACGCGATCCGGTGGTGGCCAAACAGCGTCATCTTCTTTCATTATATCGGAATCGTTGACAATACGTTTCAATTCTTCAATAACACTACGATTAACATATGTTTCTTTACGTATCAGAGTATCCTTCTTATAATTCGAATTATTAGCATAACGTAATTTACCATCGGGACGAAATTCAAATTCTAAAAATTCGTGACCAAATTTTCCTTAAAGTAGAAATACAACTAGTAACATTGCTCGTGAGATTCCTACTCAGCAAATAGATTTTTAATAGTGAAGATGAAAACTGATCTACCTTTATGACCAACATAATAACGTAAATAAAAATCATCTGACATGGTGTTTCACCTGTTGAAACAGAAAATAAATACTTTATTGTATTTATCTGAAAATGACAAAGAGTTGCTTATAAGAGAAAATCAGAAGCTTAATAATAAACTGAGTGGAGTCACTTTTAATTGGTTAATATGAGAATAAGATTGTAAACTGGGAATCACTATTATAAGACAACTCTGAATCTTCTACTTACTGTTCGCTTGCAAGGATAATGCAAACTTATATTATCGCAAGAAGTCACTAAGGAGTACATAGCAAGATGCCCGAAGAAATCACTCGTGAGACAAACACAAACAACCAATAGCAATAACGCTTCCACTAATGTAGGAAAACGTAGCTAGACAAACAACTTCTGCTACTCGAAGAACGGCTCTGTGATACAAAAGACGCAAGTAATTTTAGTTCAACTCTCTAATAGCTAAAAAGATGGTTAACAAATGGCGAGAAAGAAGCTTTACTAAACTTCTTTATTATCAACACAACTGAATTATCTCATCGGCGAAGATGTCGAAACAAGATATTGTAGTCGAGGCCTACTCCTGTGAAAAGGGTTTCAATTTTCCATTCTTCTGTAAGAGAATAGATAGCAATGAATAAAAAAAGTAATTTAAACAAAAGTAGTTTATAACTATCATTCACTGATTGTAATAACTTAATAACAACAATAATAATGATCGAAATCTTGATTGGTTATGTGTTCAACCAGTTACGTTGTACTCGCTTGCGCCCTCTCTTCCTTAACAATGCTAGTACTCTAGCATCAAAATTCAAAATATAGTGGAAACAAAAAAATTTTACCAAATTTTCTTTGTCATTCAACATCAGATAATCACCGACGAGAAGGTCATTTGTGGTTTTTAGTTGGTCAATTGAACGACAAAGAATTATAATGTGAAGTGGAGAGATCATGTATAGTAATCGATTAATGAATTAATTTATTGTGACTTTTAGTCTGGGTAATTCATTTCAAATTTTGCTGTAATTAATTCTACAGCCAAACAGAAATTCAAGATGCTTCGGCACCATTCTTTCATTATTTTCTCTACTTAAAACTTTGTTCATTGTCTATTTTTTTTATTCATTTTGATGAGCCTGTCTAAGGAGATTTGAGCAAAGAATTTGCTAAATACAACCAGAAGAACAAATGACAAGTGATGTTTCTAATAAAAGTTTCCTTTCAGCATGAACGCGCACATTTAGCTTTCCTAGCTGGTTCCAAACGTCGTTCGGGCTAAAGTATTTTCAAATGACCTCGATTTCTCATAAATGTCTGTTACATTTTTTAGGTTGTTTTTTGGACTTTTTAAAGGCTTTCAAAACTGAAACTGTTTGTCGCTTTTAAATGTAGTCTACTCACAGGAAGCATTGAATTTAAAACTCAGTCAGAAATTAGCCAGCGTCTTTGCATTTTCAAATGGAAAATTGCGTTTTGGCCAAAATTGAACTGGATAAAGCTTAGACGGATGGGATCTTCGTTCATTGTGAATCGATCATATTATGGATAAAATGAATAAGAAGAGTTATTTCACTGAAAGTACAAAATATCGGTTTTAGGTAAAAAAATTTAAAGAATCGCGCTTCAAGTAGCCAGTTTATTATAAAAATGCAAAATGTGGATTGTACAGGGTTTTTTATTATCTACACAAAGGCGTTATAAATGATTGTTTGAGAACATTTTCAACTTTATGCTTTTAATTGATGTTTTCTCACGTCTGACATCGGTATAGGCAAAAGTTGTTAAAAAGAATATTTATCATTTCTTTCATACAATCAAGGTGATAAAACTCAATTAATCGAGAACAACTCATTTATAATTTGATCGAAAGTATTGCTTCTCGTAGTGAACATATAACCAACTACCTGAAAAAAACGCTTACAAAATGCGTTGTCGTAAAATGTTTTTGAGCGAAAAAACTGTTCGTTTATCACTTTTTTGTTGTAGATATAATTATTTGCTTATTTGTGTTGTTTTTATTTCTCATGGGACATTCTCGTCTTCTTTATGTATGAAAATTTATTGTTAAAAGGTATTTATTATCGTTTTTCAATCTTGATTCAACGCAACAAATCCAACAACAGCAGCAATATTATCAAGTTTGAATATTAAAAAGATTTTTCTTTCATTTATTAGTGTGAATAAAGACTTACATTAGTGGAATCAAAAATTCTATAATATATTAGATAAACTTTATTACGCTTGAATAGTTGGAAAAAATAGAATTTTATTGAAACGAGCGAAAAAATGTCTAAATATCGTGAAAAAAGTATAGTGTCAACGATAGCGAAACCCACCACTCGTTTTTCGGATAGCGGATCAGAGTAAGTTCAGTTTTGGAAAAAACGTTCTTCCATACGAAAGTTGAAAACATTCTTGAAACCACTATGATTTCTGAAAAAATACTGGTTGTTTGACTTGTTAGGATTAGGAACGAAATATGTATGATGAGCGAGAGGCAAAGTATTCTACTTTTCAGATTATCATAGCAAATAAGTTTATTAAATTCTTCGCAATGATCTCCGATGGTGATACTGTTAAAATATTCTGCGTCTCTACTAGATCATTATGTTTTAAGTTGCTTTACAAATAGGAAATCGTTCTACCACAAATTTTATTGTTAATAGTTGCGGTATTTTTCTTTCGCACACTTAGTTTAACCCTGATCTGTCCACCTCGGGTCCTTGCGGACCCCATACAAAGTTTTGAAGATGTCTTGCTGCTCTGCCAGATAAATAATGAGTGGATGCAATCAGTTCATATTGATAGTACGCCCTATTGTCATTCAGTGGAATATAAGGTGAAACGGTGAAGTCCAGCGGTTGTGTTCCAAATGAAACCGGTAGAATTTGGGCATATTATAGGTGGTTGGATCAGGGTTATATATAAATATGTATGCGAATTCGAAGGCTATAGAAATTAACTCAAATGAGGTGTAGCGATCATTGAATAGTAAAAATCACATGTTTTTCTAGATACGCAGTCATTTGCTTTTAATGCTCCTCTCATGACATCAACAAGTAGTGACAAGAGATTATGGTCTGATAAATGAAATTGATATGAGACAACATAAACAACGATATTGACGGTCAACAATCAACAGAGACTAGCTAATCGTCGTCCTCATTCAGCTGGTCATTGTAATAGTCAAAGACAAGGTCGACTTTATGTAACATGTTTATTCAGGTAAGCTGAAATTTAAAATTGGTCTGATATATCGTTCGATTTTTGTTAACCCACTCTTTATGTAGTTTTGATGAAGAATTATCTGCTATAAATAATAATGATATAGATAATCGATCAACAATCGTAGGGTCTCAACATCATGTCGGGTACTACTAATCATTCTTATTGTACGCATCAAGAACGAAAGAGTTGTAATTCTTCATCTGCACGTAATAACCGTCGAAGTCGGTCTAAAAAACATCGATCCTATAATCGACGTCAACAGAACCTATCTATATCTTCAAAACAACAAATACAACCTTTCAGCGAACATAATTGGACACTATACACGAGTAATCATAATAGTCGATCATCATCGACGATTAATACATCATGAAGGGTCAAGAACAAGCTTGAAAATATGGCATTTTCTGTTCGATCAACGTCAACAGTCAGTATATCACGTAATCGAAAACCGATAATGAATCTAACTAAATTGAGTCGATGTTTATTTAAATTAGGTAAAATTCAAGTGAAAGATAGTTGCCGATATGTGCACAAGAAACAACCTCTGTCATTTCAAGAATCACTAACAACAGAACAATTAATGTCTTCACCTCAATCGTTATTTGTACAACATCACACAAGTTTAGTTTTATCTACGATAAATAAAAAGAGGAATATTAATGAAAACTTAGTTCCATATAGTAATGGTGAACTTCAATGTTAAAATCGGATCATCAACGAACGTTCGTATCTGTAGTAGAAATGTTTAATCTAACAAATGAATATCAAAGTAATCTTTTTGCCTCATGTGAAAAAGTAACGATACGATAAGGCTCTCTTGATAGTGGAATAAGTGGAAAATTTTGAACGCTAAAACTATTGTTTTTTATCAAGTTAAAATCTATTATTAGTACGTTCATGTTGCATCTATTTTTATGTATTAGTTTATTCGCACACTAATTTTCAATGTGACTTTGTGCTTGAGTTCTGAACTGTTGATTAATAGATAAATTACGTCTGATAGAACATGTACAAATAGATTTTGATACTGTTAGTTTTACTTTCTTTTTTGTTTTTGGACAATATTTTTATCTTATTGTGCATGGAAATTAATTTAATAATATTCTTTTTTCTCTTGTTTTATTGTGAGATGATAAAAGGATATATTTCTATCCGTCTATCTCTTAGATGTGTCAATAGATTAATTAGTATGTTTTCTTTTTTCCTATAATATTAGTAAGATATATGATAAAGACTTTAAAAGTGCGGTATTTTTTAATCAAAATATTGAACCAGATATCTCAGACTGGTGGATGGAATAACGTTTCGTGTTGTAAAAAAGCATTTTCCCAGAAGTCGTGATCAAATGTAACATTTCAGTATTTGTATATCTTACATTCACGCTTTCGTCTACTAATGGTCCTCATTTCACTAATACTAACCGAGAGACACTCTGATAATCATAATATGATCGTAACAAGTGACAATCATCAAAGTCTGAAAGTGAGAGCAGGCATATAAATTGAAAAAATGACCTTCAAAAAAAGGATTGACTCAAAATTGATTTGTACTACCTAAATATGTAAGTCAACAGTCCGACATTTACTGCTTCTAGGCGCTTTACTAACGCTGCTAAAAGTTGAAGTGAGACCCTTCTGTAGAAAAGACTCTTCTTGGTTTGCTGGTAAAGGGAGCGCTCCTGTTTTATCATTAAAGCAATGAGTATATTATACACGTTTTATCTTGTACGATGGACTTAAGATTTCGTAGAAAAGAAAGAAATGTTGACCAAAGCTCAAATTAACTTCATGATAGCTTAAAGTCGTGCATAGCTCAATTAAATTGCAAATAACTTAATACTTTTTCTGCTATAAAAATCAATGGCTTCATCGTGCTGCTATATCTCTCTTGATTCTATTTTCTATTATAAATTGCATTTTTATTTTCTTTGAACTTAGAATTTGAAGTAGTTTGTATTGCTTCTTTTTATTTGCTTTACTATTTGGTTTTCGGATGTGTAACCTATTTAATAATTTCAACTAATTGGCTTCTTTTTTCTATTCTAGTTTTGCTTCAACATTTTTATGTTTTATAAATAGCATAATATATATTTTTACATGAAATGTTCTACGGCTTCTATGCATGAAATTTACATTAATGATAGTGTAAAAACACGACCAATTTCTGTCTGCTATCATAAAATGAGTGAATGCAGTGTATGTCAAAAACCAGTATCATTCCGTAAGGTCTTTAGTTCTACTCTTTTTATTTTTCTCGTAGTTGCGTCGCAAAGAGTTACTGTGCTTACTATGATTGCTTAACGAAATTTTTTGTACCTATATTTAAGAATTATTTCCTATTCTAGACGATCGTCGAATTGTCTCTGGCATTGCTTTACATTCTGATTGTATTCGATGTAAAGATTGTCACAAAGTTATTGGCGACGGTGCATATAAAAAGGTATTTTAACCTTAGGTCTTCTTTTTAAACAAGCAAGTTCTCGTTTTGTTGTTCTAGCATCATGAAGATATTTGTTGTATTAACTGTTATGATCTTCGTCATGTAATAAATAATTCTAATATAAATGATTCACCTAGTTTATTATTGAACAGTGAATTTAATTCATCATCGTCTTCAATAGTTAACACTACTGCCATCAGTGATTTATCATCGTTAGCCGAAATAACTCTATCACCCAAAATGGCTACAAACAACAATTCTAATCGTTATCGATCATTGAAGTAAAAAAATATATTTTTCTTCTATAACTGCTACATATCCAAATCTTATTTCGATTAGATCCTTTCCAGAACGTGTACAACTCTATAACGAATATAATCATAGACAATCATCACATTTAAAGATCAAAGAGGTATCAATTTTGCAAAAATAATTAGAAAATCAACTATCATTTTTCATTTACTAACAGGAAGATGGAAAAATGATTGTTTGTGGATCAATAAGAATTTATTGGAATATTCATTCACCGATTCAATTAATGTCTGGACGGTCAATACCTCTTGGTAAGAGATTTTTTATTATTTATAGTCTTATATTTAAAAATAAATCTTTTATTTTAGGTTTATATCCAAAATCAATGAAAATATATGATCTGAATCAACAAGATTCAAATGATAATGATACGATAACTATGGGAGATTATAAACAAAAAGTAATTTTTATTTTTCACTTGTTTTTATTATTATAGCGTATATATTTTCTTCAATTCTAGAATTTTGATTCATCATTTAAACGTTTATGTTTTGATGATACTGCATTATTAACACGATTATCATTGGATGATACAAATTTAAGACGTACACAAACAATTAAAGTACCATCAAGTCAACGAAAAACTTATCGAATATCAGTTCCCGCTTTTATGCCGACTAATGATGATGAAGAAGTACGAAAATATGATATAATCATTCATGTTTTTTTACTCTATCTAATGTTTTCTTTTCAGTCAAGATCATTTATTCCGGCCACAGATAGTATGACCACTATTTATATCAGTAGTAGTACAACATCAGCAGAAGCAATACGTATTCTTTTTGAAAAACATTATATTGAAACAAATTCAAATTTATTTTCATTATATAAAGTTGAAAAATTAAATGGTAATATTTGTGAATTAAATGATGATGATTTTCCATTAATATTACGAGTATTAACTGGACCATTTAATGATACACAATTTTATATAATGGAAAAAGGCCGAAGTCAAACAATACCAATTGAAGTATCAAATTATCTTGTATTACCAGAAACAATGTTAAAAGCATTTGTTGAAAAATTTATAAATGAAGAAATTGATTTAATTAATAGTACAAAACGAAAATATTTAGCTTATAAACAATTATTATTGAAAGAATTTGAAAAACATATTGAAAATATGTAATATTTCTATTTTAATATTAAAAAATGAAAAATCAGATAATAATATGAAAAATCAGATACATAAGTTTTAACTGTATATTGATTATATTTCTAATTTATTTCGAATTGTTATCAATGTTTAATTAGTAATTATTTCTCATCTTTTTATAATTAATTTAGTCTTGTTAAATCAAACATTTTTTGACTGAGCTTGTCGACATGATTGATAGAATCTTTTTCTTCTTTCTTTTTTTTTTAATGTAATAGTGCGCACATTTTTTTTTGTGCACACTTGTTATTTCGTTTTTTGTTGTTGTTTTTTCTATACATATTCCTGCTTTTTTGTTATTTTATTGAAAAATAAGCAGATTGTTTATTTATTTCTTAAAAATAGATTGTCTTAATAGATATTTAAACTGCTAGAAAAATGACTATTTATCTATTTAATTAAATATGTCTTTTTATTTATTTTTTGGATGTCCTCTGCTTCCAATATCGAAAATGATGATACAGATGCGCGACGAACTTCATCAAATAACAGCTCATCTTCTCATTCTACAAATAAGTAACGAAAAGATTATTTTCATATATTTTTAATATTTTTGTATTTAATATGTTTATATTTAGAGTACCTCATGCTGAACGATTAGGTTTTACTGATAGTGAAGAATATTGTACATCATTTCTTAAACGTGGATTGGCAATTGTTGTAAGCAATAAATATTTTGAACCGGAGACAGGTATAAAAATAATGATTAGTATAATTTTTTATATGTGTATAATATATATATATCTATCTCTTTATTAATTAAGGTTTATCAATTCGTGTTGGAACCGATTTAGATGCAAGTCGTTTAGAACAAACATTATTGGATTTAGGTTTTACAGTGAAATTATATCATAATTTAATGGCTAAAGAGCTTGTATCAGTATTAGATGATGGTAGGATGATGATAACTTTATTAAAATAATTCATTTTTCTTTTTCGTGTTTTTTTTTTTTTGATTTTAGTTGCACTAAATGATCATTCAAATGCTGATTGTTTTCTATTTGTACTTTTATCACATGGTGATGATAAAGATCTTGTTTATGGTTGTGATCGAGCCATATCAATTGATTATTTAACTCAACCATTCAAACGATCATCAAATACATTAAGTGGAAAACCAAAAATATTTATATTTCAAGTAAGAATCTCTCAATATTATAAATAATTAATAATTATATTTCATTTAAAAGAATAGAAAAATTGGTCTATGAATTTTTTTAAATAAAATTTTTCTCATTTTATTTTATTTTATTTTTTTTTTCTCCAATAGGCTTGTCGTGGTCAACGTCTAATGGAATCAGTTTATAAACAATCTTTTAATACCGATGATGATACAATATCTTATGTTCCTCAAATACCTATTGAAGCTGATTTTCTCATGGTTTATTCAACTGTACCAGGCTATTATTCATGGAGAAATTCAATGAAAGGTTCATGGTTTATTCAAGCATTATGTGATGTACTTCGAGAACATGGAAAAGAATGGGATTTATTACGTATATTTACCAAAGTAAATCGACGTGTCGCATACGATTATGAATCATCTTGTACAGATCAAATTATGTCAAATAGAAAACAAATACCATGTATTGTATCAACACTAACAAAAGATTTTTATTTTAAGTCAAAATAATTCAATAAGAATGTACATTGCTTCATTTAATTCTATTATGTGCAATATAATAATTAGTCGAATGACGATCAGATATTTTTTCTTTTTTGATGTTCTATTTTTATTTGTCGTGTGTATTTATGCTTCGACATTGTATAAATTATTCAATATTTTTATCATAAATATTTACATTGTCTATACAAATAGAAAATCGATGTCTATTAATGAGTCTATAGAATAGAGGAGAAAATGGACGAATGTTGTTTTAGTATAAAAGTTCTTCTCATTCGTTTTCTGATTATAATACCATCCAATCAATATGTTTTCTTCTGTAAAAATAAAAACATTAAAAATGGCAAAATACGAAATAATATTCGTTAGAGAGAGAAGATAATTAAATTTTTAATAGATAAAAACGGATGAGTTTGATATTCTCATCAACTTTTCATTTGTAAACTATTCAAAATTTTTCTTAATATTTTCGCATAACTTAGTACATGATTAATTTAATTTTTTTTTGTGAAGTTTTTCATTACCATCGATGTATAGTCAGTCTATTTGTCAAATTTTTTTTATACTAATCGATGGTATAACAGCAAAAACGCATATAGCTGCTGCAATAATAATAGCGAAGAAAAACCAACAACATAAACATTCACTTAGTCTTGCTCGTTTTCTCCATTGATAACGTTCATTATCTTCTAATTTTAAAATTTCTTCTCGTTCAAATAATTGTTTCAATATTGAATTAACATCTGACGATTCTTGATGATGATTTGTTAATGTTGTATCACCATATTCTAAACTTATTCGATTTCCATTTGTTCCATTTCCATTACTTACATTACCACCATGCAATTTTTCACTTAATGCACGAGATAACACTGTTACACGACTTAATCTTGCTGGTTGTTGTGTATCATAGTTTCGACTTTTATGTCGATTACGTCTAAGCCATTGTGATACAAAATTAATTCCACCATAGAATATTGAATGAATAATATGATCAAAAAATAATGATATTGCTTCAATCATAAATAATATTGTTAAAAATTGAAGTATTAATGGAGATGTTGTTAATTGTTGTGCTTCAATTTTATAATCTAAATAAAGATAGAATGTTAATGTTGCAAATGAATTCAATACACCAATAATTAATCGTTGATGAGCTTCAACTGGTTGAAAATAAAATATAAAGATAAAAAATGAGAAAAATAAACATGGAACAATAATTGTAAATATATGTGATTCTCGACGACGTTGAATTGATAATGATATTAGTAGATCATCTACGGATGAATTTTCATTAATTATTTTTGGTTGTATTTGTATATTTGTAATAAACCATCCTCTCGATGAAGTTTTAACATAACTTTTTGTTGTTGTTAATGATGTTGTTGTTGTTGTTGTTGTTGTTGTTGATGATACATTCTCATTATTCTTTGTATCTGTCGTACTACCAAATAGAGCATTCCACACACTTATTCGACCATTCAATTGTCCTCCACCTGTTGATGCGAATGAACGACGATATTGTAATTTAAATGATTTTTGTGTATTATGTAAATTTAAATTAAACGAATGTTTATCAAATGGATAATATTGTAGATCAATGACACTTGCTATTGTAAATGTTCCACGTCTTGTCCATCTTACAAGACCTTCTCGATTAATTTTTGCTATTTCTTGTTCGATATTAAATTGAACATGTTCATCATCAAATTTCATTTCGGGTAACCATAGTGAATTTAATGTTGCTGGTGTTAATGTTATATCATCTATTTGATAATAACGACTTTGAGTATTATTTGAATCCCAACTTAAAAATTCATACGGTGATGGATTACTTCTGAAAAGAAAAAGAATAATAGATCTTTAATTGTCTACATTTTTTTTTTTATCAAAATCAAAACAAAACAATATTACCCAATACTATTTGATTCAAATTGATAATTTAATGTTAATGATGCACGAAATGTAATTTCATTTGTTGTTGCATCTACTTTTAGTATATCATGAATAGGAAATTCAATATCAAATATCAAAGTTGATTGACTTTCTCTTAAACGTCGTGCTGCCAATCGATACCTGAATGTTATGTTAAAAGAATAATTAACAAATATTTGTGTAGATTTTTCTTCTAGACAATATATATTAAATAATTGTTGATTAATGACAAGTTTCTAAGTTCACATGCATATATAAATGATTTTTAAATATTAAAACATATTTTTTTTTCATGAAAAGAAAAATATCAAATATGAGTTCAAAACATCTACTAGTTGTTTTCAAATTTCTGTTTATATTCACTAAAATTATACACATTTGAGTACTATTGAAAATGTTACTATTCTTTTAAATATTTTTAAAATATCATCTAATTCATTGAGATTTAGATTCAATTTGTTACAAAGATATTATTCATTATTTCAACATTTTCTAATGAGAAGAATTATATAAAACATACCTTTGTGCAATTTCTGTTAGTAGTTCATGTCTTGGATCTAATGATATTGTATTGGTAAATGATAATGTAGCACTATTATCTGTTTTTGATAATGGCATATTATTATTTTGTACATTGTTAACTGCATAGTTAATTTTTCGTGTCTGTAAAATATTGTTATTATTTGATATACTCTGACTACATTGAATATATAATACAACAACAATAATAATTAAAAAATTTGAAATCATCTCTCTCATTAATTTTATAATGATAAAATTTTTAGATTATCGATGGTGATAAAAAAATCTATCTCATTGTCCATCTTCTCCAAGATTGTCTCTTATTTTTTTCATTTACACTCTTATGTTACTTATATTTTCTTTTTTGGTCATCTCTTACTGTTATCTTGTAGCAAAAAATAGTCAGTGACCGATTTTATTGTCAATATTTACTCGGTAATCTAAATTTATGATGCCATTGTGTATATAATAATTAATTGCTCAGTGACATGTATTTACCTCTAAGTCGTTCGTTAAAAAAAAAAGATTATCTCGAATGTCTGTATCGTGTGTGTGTGGTGTGATGAGAAAGAAAGAAAGTAAGACATAATATTAAGTAAAGTTAACATAGAAGACGACGACAGACTTAACGATCAAACAAAAAAAAAAAAAAATAATTTTGTTTTTGAACACAACAAGTACTAACAATATTTGATAAAGAGAAAATTAAATCAACAAGAAATATTCACATTTATTGTGTTTTCTTAACACAAAATCATAATAAATTGAGATATCAAAATGTCTATAAAAGTTCGATCAAAATTTTTTTTTCAAATGATAAAAACAAAACGAAATTTAACATTGTTTGTCTAATGTTAAAGTAATATAAAATATTCAAATTGAATCTAATGTTATCTTAGATATGCCAAACTGTTCACTATTATTCAATTTATATCTATTGATAACTATTATTCTAATAAAAAGATAGAATTTGTTAATTTAATTTTAAATTGTTTTTATTCCTTTTTTCTTTTGTAAATTCAAACAATATTGTTCATTTTCAACAGATTTTGTTCGAGAAAAAAATTCCATATTTTTTAATATTTTTCCATCTAAATTTACACAATAACAAATTTTTCCTTTACATTGTACGAGTAAATAATCACCATATTTATCACATCTTGTCTTCCAAGATATATTTCCATTAAATAATTGTGCACAATGACAATAACGTTTTGAATCAATCGATGATGATTTAAATTGTGTTAATAATTGACCATGAAATGAAACACAGTAACAAGACGTTTTGTTACATTGTCGTGGAGCAAATGTTCCATCAGGTTTACAATTAGGTATTAATATGGAATTAGTATCATTTTTATTTAATTTTTTTAATTGATCAAAACATTTTAATAATTCACATTTATTTGTTTTTTTATTACAAACTAAACCAGGTCGACATTCTTTAATCGGTTGTGTACCAGAATGAAAATCAAAACAATGATCATTTTCATCTAAAAAATATCAAATATTATTTTACTTGAAAAAAAATATTTATTTATAGTTCATACGTACCAAGAAATTTAATACACGATGAACAACAACCACAATATGATCCATGCGGTTCAATACGTCCATTACTGCAGTTTAATATTGGACAATTAACACGAGAACAAACATTTTGTGTACAAAGTAATGCTAAATTTGTTTCACTCTAAAATAGATTAGAAAATATAACAAATTTTGTCATATCAATATACTTCTTTTTTTTTTTTAAATATGAATACTTTATAAATTGATATTATTATTATTAAAATGACAATGTGCCAATTGAACATTGATACTGTTATAAAACTAGCACGATGTTTTTTTCTTTTATTTCTATATGTATGTGCTTTTTGGATCGAATATCAATATGTCTCTCATAAAACTATTCAAGATAAGATGAAGGTTATAAGTGGAGATTAATCACACTACATTCAGATTAATCAAAAATAACATTTTATGTTTTTTTTTTTTTCTTCATCTTTTATTGATCACAAAAAAAAAAAAGATATAATTTTACTGAAATTTTTTTTTTTGTTAATTAGTTTATTAACGTTAAAACTAATGGTCATTCTAACAAATTTATTTATTTTTTTAATATACTTTCAAATATCATTAAGAAACTATATGAAGACAACTAGTATATTCTATCCGTTAAAAATGGTATTGCATATTCAACATTCTCAAGTTAGACAATACTGCTTCATGCTAACGGTATAAGACACTCTAATTTATGAAATATAAAAAAATAAGAAAAAATAAGAAATATATATACATAGAAAATTGTATTTTTATAATAAAGAAATAAGCGAAAGACTGGGCATTTTATAATTGATATTTTCCCACATATAAAATATCAAATTTATATTTAAAGTATTTCTAATTATCCATTTTTTCTAATTTATCTCGATTTTTTTCAACATCTTGAATCCAATTTTTTATTATTTGTTCTTTTTCTGGTGACATTAAATCATTTTCTTCAATATATTTTTTGACATCTGTATATGCATAAGAAACATTTGGATCACGAGATTTATAAGATGTTGCTGATGGAATACGTTCATTTTCTTTTAAATTTATATTATTTGTTTCTGTACAAGATTTTGGCACAGTTGTCATAGGCACTGTTGGAGTTGCAGACGTTGTTTGATATTGTTGTATATTCAAATCTTTTGATATCATATATTTCATTTTATCTATATTTGTTTCACTTCGATGTAATTGTTCTCGTAATCGTAATTCATTCGTAGATGAATAATAATTATTTAATCCGAGATTGAATGTATTACTTTTATTAGGATAAGACGATTTTCGATTTGTTGTAAAATCAAATGATGGTCCACTTAATCGAGTTAATTGTTGTGTACTACCACCAATATTACTATTCTCGTTGTTTATTCCACTACTCATATCATAATATTCTTCATGAAAGGATGTTTTTGAGTTAATATGACTACGTTGTCTAGATATTATATTTCTTGGTCGAGGTGTTTTCGATAAAACTGAGCTAACATTTGTATATTCTAGTCGCAAACCTCGACTATAGTCACCTGTAGAACGATAACTTTCACTACGTACAGGAGCAAAATTTATATTTTTCTCACAATGACTGTTTGTTTTATTTATTCTTGTTTGACGAGATTTCGGTGCTGATAAAATAATATCACCATTTAAATCTGTTCGTCGATTATCAGTCGTATTATTATTATTCGATGTATGTAAAAGAGAACTGGATATACCGTTCTTTTCATACAGAGCGCCGTTAGTAAGATTTTTAACTGAAGATAATTTCATTTTTGTTGAACTTGACACACCAATGATATTATTACTAGATGTGATGCCGTTGTCATTCCAAGAATAATCGCTTGCACGATAAGCAACTAAATAAATGAAAAAAAAGAAAATTATTAAGTGAAAAAAGAAAAGAAAAAATGTCAAAATAGAGAACATTTATGATTATGAATCAGTGGTATAGCCAGGATTTTTTTCAGAAAAGGATCAACATTTTTTCAACTAAATCGACAATTTTGTGAAAATTTCCAAGGACATGCCTGATTTCCGAAGGAAATGAAAATTTAAAGTATAAAGTTTAGATACGAGTTGAGGCAGTTTAAAAATCCATTTGTTTAAAATATCTTAAATTAGGGTTAAGGGGTTTAAAACATCTTAAAAAAAGCATTTACAATTATATATAGTCTTATTAGGTGTACAAAGTTCACTTGGAAGTTTTCATATTTTTGCTTCAGAGAAGCAACGCTGATAAGTTTTTTTATTTCTAAAATCATTATCTTTTTACTCTATACCTATATATTTTATTCTATTCTTATCAGTACAAATTAACTTTCTAAGGGAGGGGCCTGCGCCTCCTAGGTCCCTCCATTGGCTACGCCACTGTCATGAATGTTGGGAAACGATTTTTAAGGGTACTCCTCCCTTCTTTTTGGACTTTCCGCAGAAATGCTGTGAAATAAAACTAAAACTCACTAAGCTTCATACTTAGTTTTCCAGAAAACTCGGGTTTTCATTGCACCACATTACGACCCCCTCAAATGCAATCGAGTGAAATGAGAATAATGTACTGTGAATATCACGGAAATTCTTTTTTTAAATATATAGTATATTCTTTATTTTTTACTCATAACTCGCAGTTTAAATACAAAACACAGAAATTAAGAAAGAAATACTTTTATTTTTTTTTCCTGTTTTCAGGAATACCCATGAGTATTTTTATCCATTTGTCTTCATGTCTGTCGGCATGTAGTGCTGTTTAATTACTTTAAGTCGTTTTCATTCTTGACATCTACTTCGCAGAACTAAATACTTAATATTTGATAAGATATTATCGTTACTTCCCGAACTCCACACACTTTTAATTAATTCAAATTGAGATCAAAGAATCTTCAAAGGCGGTGAGTAGGTGGATGAAAGTGTGGGGAGTTTGGGCATGAACCCATATAATTGGTCTGTTTTTAGTCAGATTCCTTTTTGATTGTTGTATAATCAATTTTCTGTTTCAAGTTTTAATCCTAATCAAAGGGATGTGAGAAGCGTCACTTCCCGAAATCTGTACACTTTAGTCATTATATCTACACCTCAAACTCCGCACACTTTTTGATTAACTAATAAAACATAGACTGTGTAAAAAGAAAGGCAGTTAATAATAATACAAAAACTTTTTTGATAATTCATTTGAAATTTGAAACTGACACTATTTCTCTAGTTTGTAAAATGTAGAAGAAATATATTGTCAGCAGGATGGACAATCGTCTTAAAACAAAAGAATTACAAAATTAATGCTTTCTTGTTCATAAAAGTTTCGAGACTGGAGATGTTTGTTCTGCTCTAAGCATCACATCACCATAGTTTTCGATTAGAGGGAGGGGGATTTCCACCTCCTGACATTTTGGGAGAATGTATTTTCTCTCAAAGAAAAAAACAACTTTTTTTCACCAGCAGAAGGATTTGACTTTTTTTGAACTCAGTCAAAACACCGAGTTAAGAGCTCAGTTTTTTCTCTCATCACAGCCTAGTCATCTACTAATAACTCTCAAAGATTGAGACCTTTAGTTGAATGAATAATTGAATTTTTACGTTTTTACGTTACGAGATCAAGTCTAGCATGTGTTTTCCGATGAATCGTGTTATACATTCTCTATCGATAATAAAAGAGAAACAAGTTCAGAGTCTACTATAGATCTATACTATTGCACGGTATTTTTTGAATACGTAAAATATAACTGCGTAAGATATAAATGCGTAAAATAAAGGTTAAGTCAAGAAGTAAAAAAAGGAAAATGAGAACAGACGAGTCGCTGAGGCAAAAACGTAAAAATTCAATTATTCATTCAGTAATAAAAGCTGAAGGCCTCAATCTTTGTGGGTTATTAGCAGATGACTAGTTTGTGATGAGAAAAAAAATTGAGCTCTTAACTTGGTATTTTGACTAAGTTATAGAAAATTTAGTGTTAAGAATCATCCTCCCCGCCGAAACGAAAAATTTCATAACTTTTGAAGAAAGCAATATAGGTCCAGATCCTTTTATGCTTTTTCTCAGGGCAATAGGCCCTGCATATCGGCAAAATACGATTGGAAACGGGGCGGATCATGCGAGACGGTTCCCTCGTTGGTACTATCATCCAATGAAACTTTATAACGGTAATCGAGTGCAAAAATGTTTTAATTCGCAGTAAATGTCATTTGAGTTTTCAGAATTTTTTATATGCTAAATCAAATCGATCGAAAACTGCTCACTTTTATTGGTCTCAAGTTGTGGATTATTTTGAGCAAATGATGATCTCTTTTGTAAAGCTGTACTGTTTCGGTTTCCTCCATTTGTCGCATGTTTCAATTCTGCCGATGTGCCATGTGTAGCAGCAACGGTGAACTGTTTACTTGTAGCTATAGTTTTACTTCCTAATGGACTTCGATCATTGTTTGTAAATGATATTTGTCGTTGAAATTTTGAAGCAGATGGTGAATAAGAGCCATTACTCTCAGCGCCGACGTCTGGCTCTGGTCGAACACTATTGATTGGAGGGAATATATTTGACATGACGATGTAGGAGGGTTCTGTTAGTTTTCTATGAATAAATTAAAGAAAAAAAAGAACAAAATATAGAGTAAAAGAAATTATATAATTACAAAACAAAATATGTATGATTCAGAGAATTCCAACGTAACCATAGTATACATAGCAAATATTTGTCATAATCTTCATAGATGATAACGAAATACCGAATAGTTTTATCAACATTTTTAAAACTGTTCATTCGTAGACGATGAACAAGACAACAAAGAGAATTTTTGTACTCGATTTAAAGATTAAGAATGATAACTCATAACTGTTTCTCATTTGTCATTGATTCTCAGCAGTTCGACTTCAGTATCGCGTTAATAAAATGTCCTTTCTTAAAAAAGTTTTCGACAGATCGGTCAAAGTTGATCTTGAAGACAGACAATAGACTGTCACATACATCACCTTCGTATTAGTAAGTATTATAACGTGATAAGCAATGTCAATATAAAAAATCGGCTTTAAAAATTTTTCTAATTCTGAATAGTCGGATTAAAATAAATATTATATTGTAAAAAAGTTTTAATATGCTCAATTTGATTTTGTTCTATAAATTTAATGAAATTATTAAAAGAGAGAGTGTTGTTTCATAAGTGAAACTTGACGAATTGAAATAATTCTCTAGTAATACTTTAATTGTTAAGGAATTTCTATTTATCAGTTAGTTTTTTTAAATTTGACTTGTTGTTCGATCAAGAGTATTTAATTTTAAACTTTTTTTGACTCAAGTCCATGGTACCCGTAGAAATTGCAAGGAGGATCACTTTTTTTTTAGAAATTAGAAAACATTCTTGTATGCTTTATTCAAATTTCAGTTACTTATGTTGTATTATCATTAGTTTCGTATTAAACGTATTTGTCTATTGTCTTTTCAAGTTTTCTGCAATGCACTTGAACCAATGCACCGAAAACCTACTTATGCTATCAATCAGCTGGTTTCTTTCTGATAAATATATTCTAGCTGAACTGAACTAATACTTACAGCATTTTTTCTTCCAAATAATGTATGTGCTAATTATCTCTGATTTAAGAACAATGTAATGTATTAAAGTATAAAAAACTGATAACATCCATATAAAAAAAAGATTGTTGTCACAACAAATGCAGAGGAAAGAATCAATTACCGATTGTTATCGGTTAAAAATAACAATTTCTTCTCTCTCTCACGCCACTCTTATTCTTTCTTTCTCTTAACATGTCTTTTCGTTGTTCTCTCCTTCGACATTTTATTTTTTATTTTAGAAACTTAAACAACCTTTTCAAGTATTGTATTAACAAAAAAAAAAGAAAAGAACATTTCTTCATAAATAATAAAGACACAATCATATTCCCTTTTTACGTTTTTCTATATGAGATGTAATTGACAGACAAAGAGAAATAATATTATGCACCTCACTATGAAAATATGAGACAGTGATGGTGCACAAAAAAAGAAAAAGAAAAACCAAAAACCAATTCATATAATTGAACGATATTGATTAAGGCATTATTGTCTGAAGATGGATATAATTAATACTAATTAGCTTACATTTAGTCCCTTTACTGGATTAAAGTGCTATTCTCTTCATGGCAGACTATCATCAAATCAGTCAATAACTTCTGTATTCCTATAAATTCAATATAACTCGATATACATTTTAAGAATCGTTACAATGCTCGACAAAAGTAGTGAGTGATACCTCCTGCAAATTCAAAATTATGATAGCTAGGGACTTCTACTTTTGTGTGGTTGTAGTTCTTAGAATTTTTTCTTAGTTTTCTTGAATGCTGATAACCTAGCTAATCTGAACTAGAGATGTGCACGGGTAACATTTTCGTAACTCGGTCCGACCCGAGAACGTGGTACCCGTACCCAATTTATGTCTAAAAATTTTCTTCTTTTTGTTTTCCAGCTAAAAACTTTTGTTTTTTGGCTCAAGATGTCAAATTATCATTACGTTCTTCAGTAATTCTTTTTAAACCTTCATGTATTTTAGCTAAACTCCTGTATTTTTTCACTAAAATTTTGTAGGTTTTCCACTAGAACCTTCCGGTTTTCGGGTAAGTTAAAAAAAGATAGAACCCGTACCCGTACCCAACCTTCGAATCGGGTTGCACATCTTCAGTTTGAACCTCTTTTAGTCAATGATTCGTATCATTATACATCACAAACACGAAAAGAATAATTGTGATAAAAAACAAAACTTTCGTCTGAAAGTTTATACATAGTTTAATCTATATTTATTAGTCAGCTGAAATAAGCATCAGAGATAGTCACGGATCGCAAAGCATTGTACTTGGCTATCGGAAGAAACATAACATAGATAAATAGAAATAACAACAAAGTAAAATTACTTTAAAATTACTAAGTAGTCAACTCTCATACGTTTGGTGAATAATCTGTAGGTATTTCAGTGTGTTCGGTGCAATTCTTGAGTCAAAAGCATATTCAAGAGTTGAGTTATGATTTTTTTTCGGAGAGGAGCTCAGATTTCAGAAATAATACTCAATCGTAAAATAGCTGTATTCCAGCAACCATTAACAGCATGTTGTTACAACTATTACTGAGTAATCGACATTCAGTAAGAGCTATAACACAAAAGTAGAAGTCTCTACCTATCATGACTCTTGAGTTACAGAAGTATCCCTACTTTTATAAAGTACCACAAGACCGCTAAAAATAGTCTGTGAAACTTCTTTTACGATAGTTGGATTAGAAATTCCTAAAATATTTGGAATAACGATATGTGTATACCAAGGATAAGTAAGTCATTTTAATGAACACGCCGTCAACTATGTTGAAATGTTGCATCAAAGTAGTTCTTAACAATGTGAAAAACCAACAGCTGAGAGCTGAGAGCATAAACGCTAGTTTGGTTGCATATCTTGCCTATCGTCAAGTGTATTAGAGATCTTTTAATATAGAACACGGGAAAAAACGTAACATAAATACATACAGCCAGCATGAGAACTAGCCATGTTCCTTCCATTATAACTGACTAGAGCTGCTATCGCATATCAAAATAGAATGCGCATGAACGTTTTTTGAATAAAATCTGAAAGAAAACAGACACTTCGTTTTCGCCAGCCTACAGCTGAAATCGGAGCACGTGGTTCTATAGAAAAATAATTTTCAAGATCCTCCATAAAGCTTAGTTTTTAAGAGGATCTTTGGAAAACAAGGTGGGGTTCTGAAAGTTGCTATACAAATGTTTTTGTTTTCTTTTATGGATAGATGATGCAAATTGTCCTCTGCAAAATGAGAGCCAATCGAGGCTTTGATTTCTAACGGTTCGGGCATGGTATCGGATTTTCTTGGAGCCACGAGACTGGTAATCGGGCACTTGAGTGGCCTTGAAATCACATGAAAAATATGTAACCGCCCACGCTGAATCTGATGGCAATGTTTGTTCTTGGAAAAGAACTCAAAAACATGGCGAACTTTATTCAAATCAAGATTTCAAGACTGGTTCCACTTAATACTGACACATTCACAATTCATTTAAAAAACAGTAGTACGAGTTGAAAACTTCAGGATATGATAAAAGATGCCGTCGGTTTTCAAAAATCTCTTTGTTTTGCTCAGTTTGCTCTTATTTTGCTCAGATAGGATAAATTAAAGAATTAGAAGACGCATATTCCTAGATTCTTTTAGAGTTTGATGCTGTATGGATGTTGAGAAAACTAAAAAGTTAATCATAGGTGCCGATGTGATATCTATGCAAATGAAAAAACTTTTCTCAATAATCTTCCAACTTTCTGAAAAACGCTTTTCACCATTGATAGAGACGATCATTGTACATCTGTAGATGTACTTGCGGTATGGTGTAAGTCTAAGAAGAAAGTAAACGGTTCAGAAAGTAGAAAAAAAGTCGATTTTTCAAAACTCCCATGATCACTAAAAATGTTATATCTCCATCAACTGCCTTTTAAACAAGATCCCAGTTGCATAGAAATATTCTCATATTGTCTGCTACAAAATCTGAAGTTTAGTGGCAAGCCAAATTGTCCATGAGTAGTTATGAATTTTTATTGTCAAAATTAGAGTAGACTTTCAAGTGACTTCAACGAAAAAATTCAATTTTTTCAACTCCTGAAGGTAAATAAATACCATACTACAGTAGCAACATGCCCACAACAACTATTCCTTCTTTTCCCCACTGCACATTGGCAAGTCTTTCTAATTATAGCTTTGGATTCATGTTCTTCTACGACCAGTACACATAATCGGGCTTCTCTCGCCATTGTTTTAGTTGCTTTTTTACGTGCATTTTCATCAGTTATATCTTCTATGTTCTATGTATGGTTCATAGGCATTTAGTTTGAATGCTTTTCACTGAACTAATGGTCGAGAGAGACCTAATTCTATTCAGTGCCATCTCCTGATTACAAATATGATATTGGTATTACTAGCAAACGTTTAGGAGTTGAAAAAGTTGACGTTTTTCGTTGAAGTCACTTAAAAGTCTACTCTAATTTTGACAATAAAAAATTCATAACTACTCATGGACAATTTGTCTTGTCACTAAAATTTCAGGTTTTGTAGCAGACATTATGAGAATGTTTTTTTTGCAAATAGGGTCTTGTTTGAAAGTCAAAAGGAATTAGCCCAAAAACAAAAGGATGGTTTGGCTAAAAATACGACAATTTATGAAAAATATGTTTATGAAATATGTTTGTAGAGTTTGTGGATTAAAAGAAGAAAGACGTGGGTTCATCAAGATAATAATGACACCAGAAAGCACAAAGAATGGTTAATGGATAAGATCCTCGACATCGTAAATAAGGAAGGTAAAAGCTTTCCTTGACTGGCAAAACAACCGCGGCACTCTCCTGGAACAACGCTTTTGGGACAAGTACAGAATTTTAAGAAATTTGGTGAAACGAAAAATCGATGCACGGCAAATAGAATACTGAGATGAACTGAGTGAAGAAATTGTATATGCCATCAAACATCACGATCCAGTGACGGCCTATGCAATGATACGGAGGCTTCGAGGGGGGTAAGAAGAATGTAGAAAACATGCCAATTCAAAATAAAAGTGGTGACTTTCTAAATAACTCAAAAGACAGATTAATCTGGTGGAGGGAGTATTTTTGTGATCTACTGTATGTATATGCGGTCGTCGATCCATCAATTATCCAATAAATTCCAATTCCATCGATTACAAAATTAGAACAATATCGACAAGACAAACTCGAAGTTAGAAAAGCTATCAAACAGATGAAAAATAGAAAAGCTCTCGGAAATGATAATATAGCAGCCGACCTATTGAAAGCCAGTGGTATGCCAATAGTTACATGGTCTCATCAAATTATATCTGATGTTTGGTTGAATGAGGAAATGTTGGAGGGCTGGATCATGGCACAATAATTTTTATCTCCTTTGTTCTTGTACAGCCTTATAAAAATTGCCATCTCCTTGCTCGTGCTAGCTAGCAAAATCTTCTGCCATATTATCTTCAACCATGTGCAGTCCCTGCTTGAGAAACAACTGCTAAAACAACAGGCAAGATTTAGATCTAATAGATCAACAATTGATCAAATTTCCACACAGAAAATGGTGATGGAGAAATCAAGAGAATTCAATAAGCCACTATTTATGTCCTTTATCGACATCCAAAAAGCTTATGATTCCGCTAATCAAGAGTTATTGTGGACAGTTTATAGACGTTGTGGGTTATTCGATAAAATAGTCCGAATGCTGAAATTACTTTATAAGAACACCAAAACACAAGTGCAAATCAATTGCGAGTTGTCTGATCCATTTGACATAGAGGCAGGTGTTATGCAAGGTGGTATTCCTTCTCCGGTGCTGTTTTTAAACAGCAACAAGATGTTAAAACATCTTGTTCGATTCCATCGTGAGAAGACTTATCGAAGAAGCGGGAATAACCGGCGTGAAATTGGTCTATGGCAGCGGAGGTTTCTTTCATTTGGCACGGGAATTATTTAGAGATCTGAAGATCTTACCATTAATGTATGCTGATGATCTTGTGGCAATGTGTGATAATGTTGCTGATTTAGAATCATTTTTTTATTTGTACGAGCATTTGAAAAAGTTACACAAGAACTTGGGTTAAAAATGAGCATTAAAATGACCCGCATAACGTCTGTAAACAACTTAAAGAACACGCAGCACGAAAACTCATTAAAGAGCAAGAAGTTGACATGTCCGATATTGACGTCGTCATTCGAAATCAAAAATAGACATCGTCAAATCCGCTACCTGTCTCGGATGTTTTGTTTCTAGGGACCATTCTTCAGAAAAGGAAATAGAAAGGAGGATAACGAAGGCCTCAGCAGTTTTCAACATGCTTCGAAATGTGATTTAGTATCGGAAACTGTACTGATCGAAGCAGAATTACGCATCTTCCGGTCATGTATTATACCAGTTTTATTGTACGGCAGCGAGGTTTGGTCTATACTATTGGCCCATGAAAGGCGGTTAAACGCATTATATATGGCTTGTTTACGAACAATCATCGGTGTCAATCTATGTGATAGAATGTCTAATGAAAACCTGTTAACACTTACAGGACAACCACGGTTGGAAAACATTATGAGAAGAAAAAGGTTGAGATGGGTTGGACATGTGAACAGAATGAACAATGCCAACAATGTGCCCGGGGTAGTAAATAAAATTATGTTTTCGTACTTTCCTAATTCTAGGAGGCCATAAAATGCTGGTGTAAGAAAATGGTAGAAGGACAAGACCATAGAAGATATTGAAAAACTTCAAACCAAAAACTGGAGAAGAGATAGCATGAACCGGGATAAATGGCGTGAAATCATCAATAAAATCGTACAAGTGAAACTGGTGCACAAAAATATAAAAAGCATTGACGAAAAAAGCATGAAAAAGCATGACTTAATATTAGTGCTCGTTGACGAACGAATGGAAAATTAACCGAAAACTCCTGTACTTTTTTATTTATCGTACCTTTTTCATCTTCACCCTACATCAAAAAGTAGGGCTCTTTTAACTAACTAACTAGTTTGAAAATCAGTTGATGGAGATATAACATCTTTAGTGAGCATAGCATTTTTGAAAAATCGACTTTTTTTCTACTTTCTGAACCGTTTACTTTCTTCTTAGACTTATACCATACCGCAAGTACATCTACAGATGCACAATGATCTTCTCTATCAACGGTGAAAAGCGTTCTTCAGAAAGTTGGAAGATGACTAATCAAGCTGCAAATAATAATATATGTTCAAGGATATTGATTTTATGAAAGATTTATGCTTGACACATTAGAAACATTAGATTTGTGTGTATAGATCAATGTTTAAGGTGCGACATATGGATAAGAACCCTTACAGACTCTCATTATTCAAATTACTATCTAAAAATTCTCAAAACCTTCTCACTGTACGAAAATTAATAGTACATAGATCTTTGTTTATTCCATTTCATTATTTAATATTTTTCTAGAACATATATTTAAAATTTTGAATCAGATCACCGTAGTCAATACTAAATTACAAAGATGGAAAAACACGGTGTTAATTTTTGACGTTCAATAAATAGATAGAAAATAAAACTTTCTCGAGATAGTTCTGTTAGTTAACATAGTACATTATATTTTGTTAAATCCATCGCTTGCGGATTGTCATAAATATTGAATCTTTCGGCATGATAAGCTTGCGAGAATAACCCATAACCTATAAAAGAAAAAGAGATTGATGCAATTATTAACTATTAAAGTAATATAGTACTGATTCATACATCGAGCATAGAATAACATTATACATTCTCTTGTCGCAATATATATGGTACTTACTTAATAAATTGTTCAAAATATAAGATCGTGTTTGTGGTGTATTAAAATCTGTTTTTGACAACGTATTAGTTGGAAGAAGAGGTTGTTCATATGAAATATTTTTTTTGTTTAAAGAAGAAAGATCTGTAACATCAAAACTATCTTTTATAATATGAGATAGATAAGTATTCCATGATGATTGACTAGAATATTCTTTTTTCCTATCTCTATGATGAGATTTGGTAGAATAATGGCATGGTAATTCGTATATTTGTGATGTATTCTCAACATAACCACGTTGACTTTTTCGCCATTTTGCACGACGATTTTGAAACCATACCTTTAAAATAGTATTTATTCTAAAATAAGAAAAATATAAATGGAAAACTTGTTTCTTTCATCACCTGCACACGTGCTTCGGTTAAATCCATTTTTATTGCCAAATTTTCTCGAGCAAATACATCAGGATAATGACTTTTTTTGAATACTTGCTCAAGTGCTTCTAACTATAAATAAACATAGAGTGCATAGAACAACCGATCGATTATATTGCACGTATGCTGTAATGATACCTGTTTTACTGTAAATGTTGTTCTATTTCGTCTTTGCTTTCTTGGAGGAGTCAATATTTCAATATTACTTGACGTATCATCAATACAGTACTTTCTATTCATGAGGGATTTTGATAACAACCTAGAAAAGTAAATACTTCAGTTGACATTTTTATGCATGTTGCTAAATTTTTATGCTAAAAGCAGCCATGATATTAGAAAAATAGATGTTGAAAAGTGGGAATGATATTTTCATATTTTTACACTTGTTAACAAAAACTAAACATTTATAGACAATATATCCTGTGCGTAGACTATAGATCAAACTTAAAAAAAAACATTGAACCCATCGATAGTTCAATAAGGTGTTATCGAATCGACGCACTAGTGGTGTAGTGGTATCATACAAGATTCCCATTCTTGTGACTCGGGTTCGATTCCCGGCTAGTGCAATTTATTTTTTTGCTTTTGACTACAAAACTATCGCTAAGTTTTCATCAAAGAAAAATAATTTTTAGAAGTAAAAAGAAGAAAAGAAACTTTTTTATGGGGATAAGTGGGGGAAAGCTCTGAATGTTTGAATTATTAGAGAAAATCGTATATTAATGACGATGTGAAACTTACCAGGTAATAATCTTAAGTTTTAATTCTTTGAAGACGATGAAGAAATTCGGGTTTTGTTTTATATATTCATATTACTGTCTAACAAATCATTTTAACTTTTATGTCATTCGTTTATATTTTCCTTTTTTATTCTATTCATTTATTTTTGGCAGCAGAAAACATTCTTATTTTCTATTATCGGATCTATTTTTTGTAATTGAATTAGAACTATGGGATCTCAACACGTTTTACTAGACGAAATAACGACATTAATTAATCACATTAGTTTGATTAACTTTACAATTGCGATGTCTGTATGTGCGCGTGTGATAACGGGTCTAATAAAAATTTCATAAGTTAATCAAAAATATATACGAGAGAGAAAAGAAGCGGAGAAAAAAAAGAATGCTGTTTCTACTGCATCATCTATTTTAATCGATGTATATTATTAAGAAATCTTCTATGATGTGTTGAGAAGAAAAACCCTCTAATACACATAATTCGATTGGTGATCATATGCATACCATATACCCTCTTGTAAAGAAAAAAGAAAATTAATCTATGTATTGAACAAACTAGGAGTAATTTACATTTTATTTTTAAATATAATTACGTTTAGAATCCTTTCAATAATAGAAGAACCGAAGATCGATTATTAAATAATAAGGATGATTTCTGTTCCTGTTCAATGTTATATAGACACCACAGGGGCATATATTCCATCTGACAAACATTATCGAACACGAACAGTAGAAGTATATCCTCTGATCTCACTAAAGCGTTAATCATGATTAAGCTGAAAAATTTATAATATAAGTCTGACCTTAAGCATGATGAACTTCAGATCCAATTCATTGTAATCATGAGGAGCAGGATCGTGTGACTGTTTGTCTCAAGAGTTGAGTCAGTGTGAAAGAAACTCTAATCGAGATTCATAAGAGAAAAAAATCTATGGAATATATAGCTAAGATCAGTGGTATAAATGAAGGGTCATCCATAAGTCCATTAAGAAAATCATCAAGAATACCGAGAGAACTAGTCAAAAATAAACAACTATTCCACTGGCAATATGAAAGATTGAAACCGTTACAAGAAGATTTCAAGTTAGAGCATTTATACTAACATCCAAAAGATTATAAGGTAAGAGAACCGTTAAAACTGATAGTTCATGGCATAAAATTGCCCACCGTTAAGCGGTTCTCATTTTTATATCAGAAATTACGGCCACTGTTCGAGAAAAACACGCTGCAGTTTATATCAGAAAATTCTCTCAGATTTTTAGGCCTCATCTAGAATTAACATCTTACGTACGAGACGCACCAACTTACGTCTGATACCACAGAGAGAGAGAGAGAGAGAGAGAGAGTCCGTGCAGCCGATTTTTTCGATTTTTAAATGTGCTTTCTAGCCGACTATTGGCTAGAAATTATATTCAAATGATAAGAAACACCCCAGAACGTCGAAAACGGTGTAATTAATTGCCAATTAAATGCCATTTAATAGGCTGTTAATAAGCATTTAAATGGCATTTTTGTGACATTTTACCCCGTTTTTTGCCATTATAATTGGAAACGTTTAAATGCATTTATTTCGCATTTTTTTAAATGTCAAAAAACGGCCAAATAACAGGCATTTAACTGCTGCCAGTAACCCTACTGGTCACATTTTTTTGCCATTTAAATATCAATTGTTAGACCGTTAGAAAATGTCAAAAAAATATCTTCTGAACCTGAGGTACTATCACCTGCA